CCTGGCATAAATGTTTCATATTTACAGATTTTATGACAGCGATATGTTTTTCTTTAGTTCTTCGGTGTAAGTTGCTTCCGATAGTTTTTTTTCTTTTTTTTTTCTTTTTTGTGGACTTAGTGCTGATAAAAAAAGGGATTTCTATCTGTTAATCAGAAACATGGTTTTCATTGGATGGAAAAACGTGTTCAATTGCCAACCGCCAAAGTTTGTCGGTGTTGTAGAAAAATTCCTTGCAGTTTCTTGGCTGTTCTACCACGGTAGCATTATATTGTCATAATCTGCAAGAGATGTATAAAAATTACAAACTTATGGTTGTCCTGCTAAAGGAAACATCACTTATCCTGTTTCAGGATAACGCAAGACTTCATAAGAAACGACCCGGCAAAAACTGATGTAGTCAAAAACCCAATCTCCGATCTACCCTCTCTCTTCACTGAACCTGTTCCCTATAGATAATCACAATTTCCTGTCCTTAGATGCATATGTAATAAAATAGAGGTACCGATTAAACAATAACACGGAACTGGAATGCTTTAATACTTAGTAATACATTTTAGTTACCCAATATTTCGTCAGTTACTTTCCGCCAGTCTGTGGTGCGAGCGACTCCGCGCCCCCAAAATTTTCTAGTGTGATGTATCACAGATTGCCAAGTTATTTATATAACTATGTGTTTTACAAATCTTACAAAACAGGATCCTCATTCGGCGGCCGAGAGAAACCCTCAGTTAAACAATGCACTATGCCGATAGTTTGGTGTGCAATTGAGTGCTAAATCTACAATATTTTTTACAAGCAGGCCAGATAATTTAAGTAGTGACGATATTACGCTTAAAAGAGAAAGAGAGGAAATATTTAATTAATTAGACAGTATGTATCAAAGAGGAAAAAAATAGAGTTTACTTATTTTAAAAACTAGAGTTTTTAATGACACCGATCCAGAAATGCAGTTAGAACACTGACTTCACAAATCGCAAATCTATGCTTGAAGTACTGTACAAGTATATAATGGTCCTAAAAAATGACGGCGACATCTTGGAAAAAAGATTACAATGGGAAAAACGAAAATGTACGAGAGTTCACGAGAATGCTTAGCATCCGACACATTGTGACTTACCTCTCAACAATACCCGTAGTGTAAAGAGTTAATTTCCTCTTCAGTTGCAGGTTGGTAGGAAAATGTCACAGAATTATAGTAATCTCCATTGGATACCATGCGAACGACAGAGTTCCCACAACCGAGCAGTACACCTGGCCGATCTGCAAGAAAAAACAAATCAAATGAAACGTTTATTTGGTAATTATTTTTTTACAATGATGTTCACCCTGTACAAGACCTAAGAGCCACTTTAGGTAGGGGATTACAGAGAAAGAGGTACAGTTTATGGGGATATGTGGGGAAGATAACGGTTGACCCTAGATTTGTACAGGTTAAGATTGTTGTAATCAAGAAAGTATCCTCTTGGGAGTTGGCTCTACAAAGCAGCAGTTCATCGGAAGAATCTGCTCGAGTGGAAATTATGTCCCACCAAGTTGCATGGCCAGTCTTAGCCTTGAAGGTTAGAACCGGTAGAAATTAGGAATGTTGTGCGTCTGAGGATTTTCCATGGAAATAGCGATTGACCAGTAAGAGATTTGCGACGATTCGTCTGTGTCAAAGAGGTTGTAGGGTGAAATATAATTAATCACCCACAAGGTCGCGGATTGGAATCTATCGAGGTAGAGAAGTGAAGAGAAGGGCAACTTCATTTTCGACCTGGTCTGGGTCTTGCAGGTAGAAGATAGCAGATAGGATCCAGGTATTTACTGGAGTGGTACGAGGAACCAATTATTTAAATTTAAATTTGAGTCCGAACAGGCGCTCAAGGCACAGGGTCTATCAGAGGGAGCACCCGTTCATCGCAATAGGGGAAAATTCAGTGTCCGCTTGGTGATGATGGAACATCACTAGTTTGGTTTTCAAGCCAGTGAATGTGACCAAACAGTTCCCCCCCCTTTGAGCTGTTAAAGCAAGGTCAGATGAGAGATCAGCTGCCAAGCTATGGTCATCTAGATTGATTGATTGATCGATTCGCTTTCTTGTTATCGATCCTTCTAGGTTATTTAAAGCCACAAATATTTTTAGGCTATAAAACTCTTTTTTGGAAATAATAATGATTTAGTGATACAAGTCTTACTAATTAACCCATAGCAGGGAGAGAAAAGGTGGATTCATACCTTTGCCATGAGTTTTTTGAGGTGCACCCATATACCGTTGATAATGAGAATATGGAAGCATAGCCGTTTCAATGCAAAAAACGCAATGCAAGAAACATTAGGCATTCATTGATAGAAAAGTTAGTGCTTTCGATACATGACTGACGAGGCAGATATTTCCTCCCGCAGCAGGTTGCCATTTCTCTCTGCGGCAGACCAGTTGCCATTCAAGGTTACAGAACCCGGTATGTCCTGCTATTTACCCATAGATGGGGAGCGAAGAAGACGATTCATAACTTTCCTAAGTGTATTAGCACGTAAGTGGATGTAATGGATTCGACTGGAATTCGAACTCGGCTCTCCGATTCCTCAAACCGAGCCGCTAGACTCAAATACAAGCCATTGATATTTACCTGTCACCAAACCAAGTAAATGCTTATAGACTCAAATTAAAACGGTCGATTTTTACCTATACCCGAACCAAGTAAATGCTTATAGACTTAAATATAAACAATCGATATTTACCAATGGCCGAACCAAGTAAATACTTATAGACTCAAATTACAACTATCGATATTTAACTATACGAATCATGTAAATGCTTATAGACTCAATAAAAAAAAACATCGATATTTATATATCACTGAATCAAGTAAATCTTTATAGATGCAAAAATAAACACCCAATATTTAACTTTTTCTGAGTCAGATATATAATTACAAACTAAATCAGATATATAATTCACGATTTTCCTATCCTCGAACCAAATAAATGTTTATAAACACAGACTGATTTTGACTTTAAACAATGTAACAGAGATTGATATTTACACTATTTACATCGTTCGGACTGTTGCCCCCATCTTTATTGCCATATTCAAAAAATTACAGCCGTTGTACGCTCAGGCATTCTTCAGTACGAGCAATGTAAACAATGTAAATATTTACAATATCTCATCTCAGAAATATAGACAAAGATTGATATGGTGTAAAAATCCACCAAAGCAACTCACGCGTGTTGCCTTGTGCTAGTTTAAACTAGACTTATTAAATACCATGCGTCTAATCTTGGATCAATATTTAATGTACTAGTCTCACACGTCATTACTGTTTCAGTGATTACGATACTCACTTGATGCCTCACACCTCACAGCGTTTTATTATATTTTGTTTGGCTCCGTAAATATTAAAAAATCTCTCCGTGAAGTAATGTTAGGAAGCTAACCTTGTAGAAAGTTAATGTTGTGATTTCAATCTTCATTGGGTTTCCCCAAATGTTTTCTCCCATGTAGACTCAGTTGTGGGTGCCGAGTATAGAGCGATCAATAGTAAACACTCTAACCATAAGCTCAAGTTTTTTTCGATCACCACGGATGCCATATGATCGCAGTCTTGTGCTAGACTCAGTATAACTTCAATATAGACCAATTTTTACATCGAACCGAGCCAAGTAAATACAGTGGTGGAAATAAGTATAAGACACCTCATGAAATTGTTAATAATTTTCTTATTACTTCACAAATTCCTCTGAAAATTTGTGTGTGGTACCTAGATCCGATGGGTATTAGTATACATATTCGATTTTATAACAACTTTCCACCAAAAAAAAGTTATTAACAAAACTTCGTTTTCGAGGGTGGAAATAATTATAAAACATCTTCGAAAATTTGCATGTCTGGTTTACTTCGGAAAATCCAACGGAAGAATAAGCGCGTGCACAGATTATAAAAAAAAACTATTATCATGATTCTAAGCCACGTAAGTTCATAATTGAATACAGTTGCTGCAAAATGCCTAGGAACTTCCCCCTTAATGAAAATATAAAAGGGCAAATTTCTGCCTTATAAACTGGAAGGAAAATCTATAAGTTTCATTGCAAAGGAACTGTCAAGGTCCCGAACAGTTGTGAGAAATGATCTAAAAGACCCTGAATCGTATGGCATCAGAAAACGTCCAGGTTGTCCACCTAAAATTACAAATGCAGCCAGACGTCGACTTTTTCGAGAAGCTTCTAAAAGATAATCAAGCTCAAGAGATCTGCAAAACTCTTAGAATTTACCCATCGCTCCAAGAAGAGTTCGTCAACTTCTCCATTAATCGCCAAATCTCGTGTATCAAAACAGGAAGACAGTCCCTGATTTAACTGTTTAGCACAAGAAAATGCACGTAGATTGGGTAAAGAAAAAAGTAACATGGACAAAGGAGAAATGGGAAACCGTGGTGTTTTCTGATGAGAAAAACTTTAATTTGGATGAGTCCGTCGGGTACCAGTGTTATTGGCATGATTTAAGAAAAGAGAAGCAGCTGTTTTCAAAAAGATCATTTGGAAGAGGATCTGTTATGGTTTGGGGATCTTTTTCTGCACCTGAAAATGCTGATTTAGTAGTGATGGAAGGGAAATAAAACTCTGCTCGATATATCAATGTGTTGGAAAAAAGTCTTGTCCCATTTATGAATAGTCTAGACACCAACAATGCCATTTTTCAACAGGACAACGCATCCATACACACTTCTAGTCTCACGAAAGACTGGTTTAAAACAAAAAATATTGAAGTTTTGGACTTGCCCACTAAGTCGCCAGATTTAAATTCAATAGAAAATTTGTGGGGAATTTTGTCAAGAAGAGTATACAAAAATAAACGTCAATTTGAAGGTAAAGAAACTTTAAAATCTTGCATTAAACAGTATTGGAATGAAATTCCACCTGAAACTCTCAGAAAACTTATTGATTCAATGCAAAATAGGTGTGTTGTAGTATTACAATTAAAAGGGAATAAATGTAAATATTGAATTTTGTAAAACTTTGCTGTTAAATACAAACTTATGTATAACTGTCTTATGCTTATTTCCACCCTCGAAAACGTATTTTTCTTAATAACTTTCCTAATATCTTTTTTTGGTGGAAAGTTGTTATAAAATCGAATATGTAAACTAATACCATCGGATCTAGGTACGACACACAAATTTTCAGAGGAATTTGTGCAGTAATGAGAAAATTATTAACAATTTCATGGGGTGACTTATATTTATTTACACCACTGTAGTTATAAGCTCAAATAAAAACGATTGATATTTACCTATATCCGAATCAAGTAAATGCGTATAAACTCAATTACATATGATCGATATTTATCTTCTGGGTGCCGACTATAGAGCGATCATTAGTAAACTCTTCTGACCATGAGCTAATGATTTTCTTCGAAAAATGATGACATATGACTGCAGTCTTGTGCCAGACTTAGCTAACTTTGTAAATATAGAAATTACTTACACTGTCGTTGAAAATTGCCACACATGGTCTTGGTTCGGTGGATCATGTACTTGGGATCAAGTCCGTCTCCCGTCTTCAGCTCAAAATAGTTGCCTCCATTTTGTGTCATACACTGAAACAATAAAAGAAAGTTCAAGTGACTAAACATAGATCAATAAACGCCAAACATTTTTTCTCATCTGAACAGAGGCACCTAGCTAGTCTAGTTAACCATTAATTGATGATTACTGAGTTCGATAATCACTCGGTACTCTATTTATGTAGCCTTGTGCCAAACTAAGCTAAACTTCACCATTTCCTCAGCGTAGACGTGTATATACGTTTCACCGAAAGTGTCTTTCTTACGCAATTTTATATATTCAGTATTTTTTTAAGCGTTCCACCCCAAGCAAGGCGGGAAGCCACTAGTACGCAAGGGGTTACAGAGAGCTGAGGCGAGAGCAAAGAGGAGTGATAGAGGAAAGGATGAAGAGAAGGTTAGGGGATAGATCAGGGCCTCTGGAGACGTCGATTGACATTACATTAATAGTTGGAGATTATAGCTATCAGGGAAACAGGAAAAGGAGAGGGAGTTCTACAGGCAAGAAGTGCAAAACATGAAGCTATTGGAGTAGAAGAAACGGCTACATTTAACAGTTTTGACAGTGAAAGGGTGAGAGCGAGATGTCAGCCTAGTTGAACGCTTAAATTCATGAAGTCTGGGAACCAGCGAATGCAGCTCATCGGAGCAGTTACTGTGAAAGTATTTGTAAAAAAGACAGACGAAGCGTCTGTTAGAGAGCGACTGCAGACGAGATGCCAGATCAGAGCCAATTATATTGCATATTCGTCTTTGCATTTTATCAAGGACCTTGAGACAAACAGTAGGGATCCAGACCATATATGGCAGCAATAATCCATGCAAGGGCGAATGGTTGATTTGTAGATTTGAAGGATTGATTCCGGAGAGAAAAATTTCCTGGCGCGGCACAGGGAGTTGGATAACAATTATTTCTTTGAGCATGAACCAAAAGCGCTGACAAGTTTTCAAATCAGTAAGGTAATTTACCACTGGTTATAATCTTAAGTTTAGTTTGAAGCATAACCTTTGGGAACCCTGACAATGTTCTGTAATCAAATTCAAAGGGGCATATCTGTGTTGTTACCCCGTCATCAGTCAGCTGCTGCATAATTTAAATATAACGTAATGAAGATATTTCATTTTTCTTATCGTTAGCATTTTATTTTATTTCATTCTTTTTCTTTTAAGGATATATATATATATAGCTTTTCTGTTACTCATGGGGGTAACAGGTTATTCCATCACATCACTTATGTTGTTAATAGTGTGGCTGCCAATAATGAATCCTGGTAAGATTTCTAATTCTGTCAGAATCACCTCGTAGGATAGGTTGAATAAGTCCGGTGGGAAGATACACTTATCTTATACAAAATCGTTAGGTATGTTACTCTTTGTTTCCAGCTGCTTATCTTACCTTCAGTATGTCCTTTGAGTATTAAATTCTCCAGGTCATCTTCCCTCATTATGGATCATAGAATTTTCAATTGTCCTTTTGGTTTCTGATTTTTCATAATACTTCCTCTTTGATCATATATTCAATCCATGGCATTCTATATATCCATTTTTAAAAAACACATCGCTTCAAGTCTCTTTTTCAACTGTGAAGAGATTGTTCAGAATTCGATGATATATAGTAGATTAAATATTACATAATAGTTGAATATTCTTTTTTCTTTGTTTCTAACATTGTTTTTCCTATCAATACTTTGTTTAGTTTCTGGAAGGCATCTTCCGTTATTCCAAAATTCCTTCTGATTTCTGTTTTACGTTTTCTGTCGTCTGTTACTACACTATCCTGACCTCATTTATGTACCTGCTCGATTTTACACGACTCACATTTAAAAAAAAAGATGATTTTGTGTTGCATATCATCTAGGTAAGGAAACGATTAAATGTCTTCTTACCTGGCTGGAGAATTTCATCGACGGTGTTTTTCTGACTTTTCCAATCTCGTTCGACCTATGGTACCACTGGAAAGTTTAAAATGGAAAATTGGGAAAATCTTTTGAGTACAGTTACGTTTGGAAAAAAAAAATAGTTTGTAAGAATTAATTAATGAAAAACAAATAACTCTGTAGAAACCGGAGTCACAACAAAGATTTCTTCAGGCCAGCAAAAATAAAACTCAAATTATCGGCAAATATAGACCGTCGTGTCCGAAAAACAAAAAAAAACCAAAAAAAAAACCCGAAAAAACGACGTATCAATCAATTTTATTTTAACTACCTACTTGCTTTGGCGATGTTTATTGATTTAAAAAGCGATCATTAGAAATGTAATAAAACTTAAACATATAAAAGTGAATTGATACATTTTCTTTGTTCTTGAGAATTAACAGCAGAAATAATTATCAATTCTATTTCTTAGATTGTTTATTTACACTATTTATTAGATTGTTTATTGGAATGGTTGGCAAAATATCGGTTAATTGTCAATGAATTCGATCTTTATAAAATGGAAAAATATGGATAAGAGGTTCACATATTCTAATAATTTGGTAATTTTTTATAAATTTATGAATGAAAAATTCTGTTTGCATTTATATTTTTATAAGTTGGTAAATGATAAATATAGTATTGCATTAGTCTTAATACAATTCGATTAGGTTTTAGAATGTTATAAGTATGACATTATTTTTGTGAATAAACAATCTAATAAATTAAGAGTTTAATATTTTTGTTGTAAATTCTAAAGAACAAAAAGAAATATACGAATTCACTTTTCATCATATATATATATATATATATATATATATATATATATATATATATATATATATATAAGGGTTATTACTTATGTCTTCTCTTCAAAAACAGCACTGAAGAGTAAATGCATTACTGCAATGCGCTCACGAAACTTCGAAGTCGGCATGAGTGAACCAACACCACTCAATTAAGTAATAAGTTTCTTCAGATTAATTCTATTAACTCTCTATCTTTACCTTTTGATATCGAGCACTTTATGTCAAAAATATGCCTTCCTAAAATGATTTCTCGCCAGTAAACTACGGAAAAAGAACCCACAATTTTGGCCCCCAAACCTCTTACAACTTAATACTATATATATATATATATATATATATATATATATATATATATATATATATATATGTGTGTGTGTACTCAGTATTCAGTCTGCTAACAAAATTTGTACCTGATTTTATTATTGTTTTCATGTTTATTCTCATCAGCCTAAGTCAGAACATTGTGAATGGAATTAATAATTTCTTTTTTGCAAATGTAAAATTGATTACGAACAGAATGCTTGTCGGAGTTACTTTCAATCTATGCAATAACTGTAGACATGTTGGAGTCATTCTGCTTGTTCCTCTCCCTGATTCTTTCTTCTCTATATGTTTATTTACTATTCTAAGTACTAAACTCTAATGCTCTCAAACTGTTTCGCCGATTCTGACATTCAGTATTTTATTTCGATTCCAGTCTGTCTACTCTAACGGATAAAAAATGGATCGGTTAAGAGCTTGGTACTAAAAAGTAATAAAATGTAAAACTATTCAGAAATCAATAATGAAAGGTCTCATATTCGAGTCTCAAAACAGCATAAGATTAGTGCTAGGAGGAGTCATAAAAATGTCGGAATAAAAAAAAGCAGAATGAAGATAGATGTAAAACGAATGTTAGAGATATGCGATGCAATTTTGAGTCTGTTCGGAAATTATATCTTTATCTCAATCAGATGTTTCCTTTAACTGAGATTGTTATGATAAAAACGACTAAGATATGGAGAATAAAATATTCAATAATAATAATAATAAATGTGACATGGAAACATCAACAATCCTTGTTGTAGTTGAAGCCCTCAGATCGATTGGAAAAGATTCCAGTTGACTCATTGAAGGGATTCCTGGAAGTCCATGCCTTAAAGAAATACAAAAATATTGTTCTCACGAGTACAGTCTACACATTACGAAGGGCTTTATCTATGTAAAATATCTGTTTCTTTTGGGTTTTTTTTAATTGCTCAGTGAAAAATGCCATTTCTGACCTTAGGTATCAAAATCAAAAAGCTATCAAAATACAAAGACCTTGAAATCGAAATCTCAAAGATGTGGCAAATGAGAACATCAAAAATTCCAGTTGTAGTTGGAGTCTGCGGATTGATTGGAAAAGATTCCAATAGACTCATTGAAGTGATTCCTGGTAGCCATGCCTTATACAAAAAAATGTTATGAATTACAAAACAATTGTTCTCACGAGTACAGCCCACACCTTACGAAGGACTTTATCTATGTAATTTTTTTCTTCAATTGGTCAGTGGAAAATGTCATGATTCCATTTCTAACCTTAGGTCTCTGGATGGGACCCGGAAAGAAATGTGTACACACCAGAAATCAAAGGAAATATTAAGAATAACTTGTGGTACACGTGAATATTCAACGGTTTTCATATTTTAATTTTTTGATCAATCCTAATTCTTTAGTTGATGACTGAGTAAGCTCATGGTGAAGTTCTAGGACAATAAAATATCCGTAGAAATTCCCCCTATCGAATTGTTAAATATTTGAGGTTAACAATTATGACTACCGGTGACAATTTTTATTTTTCCTGTTTGAATTTTCTAATGAATCATAATTCTTAAGTTAATGATTGCGTAAAGATCATGGCGACTTCTACGATATTAAAATATCTGTAGAAATATCCCAAACATCCACTTTTATATTTGCGTTCGCTCTATCCCTGATATTGAGGACTTTAAAACAGAAATGCAACACAACTTAAAACAATATTTTCATCATTTATAAATACATAAGTATAAGAGAGCTAAATATCTGGGGTAAAGCGTATATATGTATAAAAGTGGAGACTGAGGTCAACACCGAGTGTCTGTTTTATGCTTGAATGTATTCTTCATGCCATCTGATATATATATATATATATATATATATATATATATATATATATATATATAAAAATAAATAATTTGGAGGATTTGAAATAATCATAATTAAGTAATTAATTGAGTTTAGAAGAAACCTCAAAAAAATACAAAAAGCACTGGACGGCCGCTTCGTCCTTTATTTGGGACACATCAGCAGTGCGCATCCACTATCGAGAATTGAAACCCAAGAAGTTACGATGGAAGGCAAACGCCATACCAACGGGGCTCTTTTGCTTGTTTTCTTTGTTTGTTTTTTTTGTATATATATATATATATATATATATATATATATATATATATATATATATATATATATATATATATATATATATATATATATATAGAGAGAGAGAGAGAGAGAGAAAGAGAAAATGTATATAAAATATGTATCGGAATCCGACAGGATGATAAAATAAAAGAACAGATAGGAAACGAATATCGATCTAACACATTTCAATTCTATTAAAGCTTCGTGGCGAAGCTTTAATAAAAGTGAAACATGTTGGATCGATATTCGCCTTCTATTGGTTATATATATATATAAGAGAAAATGTTGATTTAACCCAGACAATATAACACAGTAGAAAAAGGCTGTAATTCTGTGCCAAAGTTACTAATTCTCCCGAGAATAGGTGCCGAGCTGGTTCAATAAGAGAAACGAAACCATATGTAGACATAGAAAAAAAAATTTAATTAAAAACATACATCTCGGTAGTATATACCTACCACACCTGGATTATAGATATTGGTTTTATATTTTATCTTCCTGGTGATTGTATCATCGTATGAAACTCTGCGTCACGGATTTTGGTATTCTTGTATTAATAATAACTTGTTTTTAAGCCCTGAAAATTTCACGCTTTTCCTACGTTAACTTTCTGGTGAATTTTAATTCTTCAATTAATGAATATGATCATAGTGAGTTCTACAATAATAAAGTATCCCTAGAAATTCCCCTATCGCATCGTTAGATGTTTGAGCTTAACATCTTTAACAGCATATGGCAGTAATAATCATAATATGAATGCTGGTCGTTATTTTAAGAAGTAAGGGGGTACAAATGAAAAAAATTGAAATAATAACTTTTTCCATTTCATGAGAACAGATTAAAACACATCTTTCTTCTCTTCTTTCTTTCATTCATTTATTTTCTCACTGAAACTAATTAGCGTATCTGATATGTTTTCTGCTTTTTTCATGCAATCGAAACATAATAGTCCATTATTTATTGGCAGGACGTAAAGATCGTGCGAACTAAGAAACCAACTAAGGGAAGGGTAAGCACGATTATATAATAATAATAATAATAATAATAATAATAATAATAATAATTGAAGTAACAACTCCCTGACAAATTAAAGTGACCCCGCTAGAATGGAAGAGGTTATACAGTTCTAGGAAAAAATATAGATTCGCCCTAAAGAACATCACAAAGAAGCAGATTGGATTACGCAATAGGTAGAACGAGTGAAAAATAAACCAGAACAAACATGGGCGGGAATCCCAGAAGAGGATGTTGAATGTCCACTGAAAAAAGTACACAAAGGGAAATCTCGAGGAATAGATAAAATTCCTAAATTTTGGCTCTATTATCGAAATACAGCATACAAAAAAAAAACTAGCTAAAGATCTTCAAGAAATAGTCAATGATTCTACTAAAATGAGTAACCAAAGGAATTACTTATCTTCTACGCAAAAATGGTGACACAAATATCTTAAAAAACTACAGACGAGAGACTATAGACTATCTAATCTCAGGTTGTTCTGTATTTGCGCCAAGTGAATATAAAAATCGTCACGATAGAGTGTGGCAATAATTACATTGGACAATTTGCAAACATTTTGGAAAAGATGTTATTAAACACTAGTATGAACATCACCCAGCACCGATTACAAAAATAGAAGATATTACAATTCTATGGGATTACACCATCTTTACAGACCGAAAGATTGAAGGAAATCGACCGGACATAATTTTCAAAAACTGAAAAGAAAAAACTTGCTTACGAATTGATATTGCTTCCCCAGCGGACTGTAACATAGCAACCAATGAATTTGAAAAAATATAATA